AGGATGGAAAGCGCAACTTACTTTGCGATGGTGGTGCGCGATCGCTGGCTCGTCAATTGTTCCTGCTCTTACGTCCTCTCTCCCCCTCGCCCCTGTCACATCCTTGGAAAATATTGGGGCCCTCTTGGGCCGTCTTGGGAAACGTTCGGGCTATCTTCAGGCCCTCTTGAACCGTCTATAGCCCCTTCAGGAGAGATGCCACGACGATGTTAGAAACACGCGTTTAAGCATGCGATGTCTGGCATTCGCTACTAATTTAACGATGTCCCTGGCGGAATCTCCGTAGTAGGCAGTCTCGAAGGTGCTCTTCGACCGTTTAGACCGTCCGCTGTCCGAATGGCGTCGTCTCCCCGTTTGGACCCCCCCGCTTGGGCAGCCCGTCTGGGCAGCCCGCTGCGCTGTCCGAGTGTAGCGTTTTTTCCACTTGGAACGTCCGTCCGTGCGTCAAGATGCCACAGGAGAGAAACCATGTGCTTTCATCGTCTGTGCAGAAGCCATGTGTTTTAACATCTTGGATCGCCCGCTCTTCACAACCGTGCGCTCTCCCCGATTATAGGGGAACACAGAATGACATAAACAAAAACTCGGAGGTCCGCGCGGATTTCTCGGATCGGCGCTGGAACCCCCTCCCTGGCGCGCGGAGCGCGCCAGGGGCGGCGCCGGAGGCGCCGGCGGGGGGACCCAGCGCCGATCCGAGAAATCCGCGCGGACCTCCGAGTTTTATATGTTTATGCCACATTTTGTTTGACTACCTGCCAGACCACCCCAACCCAACCCGAAGACCCGAATTTCGGGTTGGGGGGGGTAAGGGTTCCACACGTGTTTTTTCGACGTTTCCCGACCCCCCCCCACTGGAAATCGAGGGTAAATCTGAGCCTTCGGGTGGTTTGGGGGGTGGTGATTGTTCCCACCGTCCAAGTCCACCGTCCAAGTGCAGACTGCTCTCCGGTGTGGGCGGCCCGGGCTCCAGAGCCAGGAGCGTTCCCCGTCTGGGAGGCCCTCGGGCCGTCGTGGGGCCCTCGTGAGCCGCCTCGGGGCCGTCCTGGGTGCCTCTTGGGCCGTCTTCGAGTGACCCCATGGCATGTCGAGCCTTCTTTGAGCAGGGACCGACCGTCCCGGCATTCCTATAGGCCTACCACGAGATGTTCTTAGAACCCAAACATGTTCTAAGAACAGAAACAGTGTTCTTAGAACATAGACCCCATGCGTTAAAACAAGACAATATCCGCTAGACATGTTCTAAGAACATTTCGTGGAAACCACACAATGTTCTTAGAACATTGTTTGGTAGTGCTATAGGCGAGCCAGGACGCTTCGCCACTGCTTGGCTTCCTGGCATGCTGGACACTGGAACGAAAACACGAAAAACGCCCAAAAACCCAAATGGGATCGTGCATCTGTGTCCCTCGAGGCCATCTCGGGGACCCTCTTGGAGTCTTCTGCGGGCTTCTTGGAGCAACCCCCTTTGCGGGTTTGGAGCGCCCTTACACCGGCTCGGTGCCCCTTGGACCCCCTGGAGGAGACCATCTTGAAGTCATACGGGGCCATCTTGGGGCCCTCCTGGGCCGTATTGCTGGGCTCTGGTTGGGTCGTCTATAGGCCTTCCAAAAGCAATACCAAAACGAGGTTCAGACGATCTCAACTGTTGAGGATGTCCCTGGCGTAATCGGAATGTGTGAAAGCATATTGGACAGTCTCGGGCCAATTTGGAGACCAGCTTGGGGCAAGCTGGGGCCGTACTGGGGCCTTCAAGGTCAGTCTTTATGGCATCTGTTGGGCCGCACTCAGGCCTCCCAAGACCGATACCAAGCGGATGTCGACAACATGGCACTTGTGGAAGATGTCCCTGGCGAAATCGTTATCTTTGGCAATAATCAAACCAAGACGATGTCGTCAGCATCTCATGTGTGTGAGGAGGTCCCTGGCGAAACATCAGTGTGAGGGTGTCCCTGGCGAAATTGTCATTGGGGGCAAGACCGAGACCAAGACGAAGTCAACGGCATCTCACCTATATGAGGAAGTCCCTGGTGAAATCGGCGTGTTGGGGAAGCGCGATGTCGACAACATCTAGCTCATTGTATGAGGGATGCCCCTAGAGAATTCGTGATTCTGGGGGGGCGATGTCGGGCGTGCTAGAGCCACCTTGTTGGACGATGTTTGGCAGTCTTGAGGCCTTCCGAGAGCGGCCCCAAGACATCTCACATGCTTGAGGGTGTCCAATGGGGAACCACAACTTTGGTTACCAGACCTGCTTGGGGACGGGCAGCGCAACCTACGTCTCGGATTGCGCGAGATCGCTGGCTAGTCAATTCCTCCTCGTACGTCCTCTCTTCCCCCTCGCCCTTGTCGCATCCTTGGGAAGTCTTGGGGCCCTCTTGGGCCATCTTGGGAGATCCTCGGGCTGAATTCGGCTCCCCTTGAACCACTCATAAGCCCTGCAATAGAGATTTCCGCACCATGTAAGCAACATCGTTGTAAACATGACATGTTGGGGATAGATCACTTGTTTAGAAGAGTACACGGCACCGTCGTTTTGACTCGCTCAACCAATTCACCCCCCTGGCCATCTCAACCCGCCTGGGCGGTTGAACCCGCCTGGCCGCTTTACCCCGCGTGGCCGTGCTAACCCGCCTGGTCATCTTAACTCGCCTGGCCGTTTGAACCCGCCTGGCCGTTGTAACCCGCCCGATCGTTTGAACCCGCCTGTACGCGTTAATCCGCCTGGTCGTTTCAGCCCACCTGGTCGTTTGAAGCCGCTTGTCCGCGTTAACCCGCCTGGCCGTTGAACCCGCCTGGTCGCTTGAACCGCTGGGCCGCGCTAACATCCTCGGCCGTTTTAACCTGCCTGGCTGTTTGAACCCGCCTGGTCGTTGTAACCCGACTGGTCGTTTGAACCCGCTTGTCCGCGTTAACCCACCTGGCCGTTGTAACCCGCCTTGTTGTTTGACCGGCCAGCCGCGCTGACATCCTCGGCCGTTTGAACCAACATTGCCGTTTTAAACCGCATGCCTCTTTTAACCCGCATGGCAATTTTACCTAGCCTGGCCGTTGGTACTGGACTGGCAACCTGAACCCGCCTGGCCGTTTGAACCCGCCTGGCCATGTTGGCCCGTCTGGCCGTTGTGACCCTGCTCGTCGTCTAACCCGCCTGACCATGTTAATCCGCCTGGCCAGACTCGCTGGCCGTCCTGGAGCGGTTCCAAGACGATGTCGAAAGCTTCTCGTTTGTGTGAGTTTGTTCCTTGCGAAATCGCCAATGTGGGTTTGATCGGAACAAGGGCGATGTCGTCAACATCTCATTTGTGTGAGGATGTCCCTAGCGAAATCACCAGTGGGGGGAAGAACGGGACCCAGACGACATCGGCAACCTTTCATTTGTGTGAGGATGTCCCTTGCTGAATCGCCGTTCTGGGTATCAGCGATGTACACAACATGCCATTTGTGTTAGGATGACCCTAGCGAGATCACCATTGGGGGGAAGACTGGGACCCAGACGACGTATTGTTGTGAGGATGTCCCTGGCGAAATCGCCATGACGGAAAAGCGATGGCGACAGTATTGTATGTCTGCCGGGGTATCCCCAGCGAAATCGTCAGTTTTTGTTGGGGCGAAAATGGGGCGTGTTGGTTGGGCTATGTTAGAACGACTTGAGGCCTGCCGAGGGCGATCCCGAGACAGCTCAGTGTTTGAGGATGCTCTGAGCGAGATCTCCGTTGTGGCTACCAGCTCTTCCCGGGGGCGCCGCATGCCGCCGCCCATCAAACTTCCCCTGGCTTCATCTCTTCCGAGTCACGGATCGCACACTATGATGGGCCTGTTTTCCACCACCACCACCATAAGTTGGAGGGGGAGGGGGTCCTCTTCCTCCTCCTCCTCCTCTTCCTCCTCCTTCTCCTCTTCTTCGTCCTCCTCCTCCTCGTCCTCATTCCCCCCTCCAACTTATGGTGGTGATGGTGGAAAACAGGCCCATCACACTATGCGCGCTTCTCATCACTGAGTGTGTGTTGCGATATTTGTTGAGGTTCCCAGGGGCCGTCGGCCTGATGCGTCGGCCACCCAGGAAGCAGCGCAAACGCTGCTTTCCGTCGGCACTCCGCCCTCAGGACCAACACGCTCCCCAAGTTGTCGGCCTTCGCGCTCTAGACGGCCCCACGATGGCCTCCAAGCCGGCTCAGATGGTCTACAAGACGGCTACGATGGCCCCAGTGAGCCCAACATTGCCCCACGATGTCTCAGAGATGGGCCGGGATGCCCCCAAGATGGCCTCAAGACCGCTCACGACGGCCCGCAAGGCCTCCAAGACGGCCCAAGAGGCCCCCAATAGGACCTCCAAGAAGGCTCGACGATGCCGACACACGTATGTTCCATAGGTGTTTGAAAGGTTTCCTCGTTTGCATGCTTTCCCCTTTCCGCAGGCCTAAGACGACCCAGAAGGCCATCAAGATGGCCCCAAGAGCGCCCAAGAGGCCTCCGAGATGGCCCCCTGAACACCCGAGAGGCCCCCGAGTCTGCCCCACGAGGACCTCACAACGGCCCAGGCGACCTCCAAGACGCCAAAGCTGACCTTCCAGGGCCCCAGGATGGTTCAGAGAGGTCCCTAAAAATACCTCCGACGGCGTCAGACGGGCACGGAACGCCCTTAAACCCCCGAAGAGCCTTTTCAAGGAGCCTCCCAAAAAGGCTCCCAAGAGAGGTCCTCCTACTCCTTTTCATCCTCCTCCTCCTCCTCCTCCTCCTCGTCGTTATCCTCCTTTTACCTCCCTCTCCTCCTCTCCTTCTTTCTCCTTCACGTGCTCCCCGAAGGGTTTCCACAAGGGCTGGGGGAACACACGGTCCGATGGCGTCGCCGAGCTCTGGCCGCAACGTTCGGCCGCTCAGGCGGTTCCATGAGTCAGGGGGCGGCGCTGATTCCCCGCAGGCGCCTTCGATACTCTTGCCTACTCGACGGCCAGATCTAGATGCACCCCCCTTGTCGACGGCGGCCACCCGCCCCGCCCGACCCTTTCACGTCGAGGCCGGCCACGGATCTCACGCTGCCCTCGGACGCAGTCTGCTCGAGATCCTCGGCGCTGGGCGGACCTGCCTGCGGCGCGGGAAGACACGCGGCAGGGCTCGACCTGAACAGAGTCGTTGGTTACCGGTTGTGTCTCGGTGTCCCTTCGTCTCGTCGTCGTTCCGCCTCGGGTGCAAAGAGGAGGTCAAAACGACAACGGCCCAGGAAGTCGCCGAAACTCTGTCTAGGCCGAGCCCTGGCACACAGCAAGCTCGCAGAGGCTGGACGACACACGAAGGGATGAACTCGTAGGGCACCCGAGCGGGAGAACGTCTTTGATTCAGAGTCCCACGCCCCTCCTCCTCCTCCTCCTCATCATCCACCACCACCTCCTCCTCCTCCTCCTCCTCCTCCTCCTCCTCCTGCTCCTCCTCCGCCTCCTGGTAGCTGGACAGGTGGTGGCAGGTTCGTCGGCAAACCGATGCCGTCGCCCGCTCTTGTTCTTCTTCTTCTTCTTCAACCTCCTCCTCCTCCTCTCCTCCTCCTCCTCCTCCTCCTCCTCCTTCTCCTCCTCCTCCTCCTAATCATCATCCCCTGTTCCTTCCCACAACCGCCACTTCGAGTGGTCCCTGAGCAGCGAGACTAGCTCTTCTGGGCCTTCTGCTGGCATGTGCGCGCTGCGAGGCTAGCGACAGCTGAGTCTGCGCAATCCGTCACGTAGCCGACCCAAGCAGGCCGACTACCACGCGTCGTGCATTGGCCAGTACGCGCGCTGAAGGACGAAATCCCCGACGCAGCTTGGGCAGCGTGTCTGAAACGCCTTCGGCACAGTAAGGCGAACGTGCAGATTGGATCTCACCTGTCTGGCATCACCAACACAAACGCACATGGTTCAAGGTAATCCGAGCGCTGTGAGAGCATCGCGGTGGCTGCGGTAACAGCTGTGCCTGCGACCGCGACGTGGGCGAAGGCTTGGCTTGCAGGTCAGTGTGCTGCTGGTCTCCCCCCCGCACCCCTTCATGCGCCCTCCTCCTCCTCCTCCTCCATCTCCGTCTCCGTATTGACCCTTGGACCTCTTACGCCTCCTCTTCCTCTTCCTCCACCTCCCGCTATTATCAACCTTCTCCGCCTCCGTCTCTTCTCCTGCCCTGCTCCTCCTCCTTCGAATGGGCATCTGATGAGGGAAGGGTTGGGGTGTGAGCCGGCCGTGCTTACGAATCCAACAAACCCTCTGCGCGTTGGTGGCCCAACGATGTAATTGCTCCGTGTCCGAACCCCCTGGTTCCATTTGGAATCGGTACCCTGCGCCCTCCCTGGGGTTTCCTTTGGGGGGTTCGCAGTGTGTCAGGGGGTGTCTTTTCTCAGAAGATGGCCCAAAGGGGGCCCCCGATGATCCAAGATGCGCTCCAAAATGCATCACGATAGCCGCAGATGGTGCAAAAGGGCTTCCGACATGGCTCTGGGAGGCCCCGAGAGGAGCACAAGACGGCGCCGAGCGCTCTCGGAGCCCCCTCACGGGATTTCCTCAAGAGGCAAGCATCCTTCAAACACCTTATACAAACCAGTGGTGCTTGCTTTCTGGCCGCTCCCGATACGGTTTTGAAGCCTCAGAATGGACCCAAGATCGCCCAATAGAGTCACAACGGAGGCCCTGGATACTCCCAAGACGGTCCAAAGACCGCCCTTATATGGACCCGGAGCCCAACGAGGCGATTATGAGGGCTCTTGAAAAGGAGAAGGGGGGGGCTGAATTAGGGAACCCTCGCTTTGTTTGATCGTTCGTGGGCCTCCAAGATGGCCCCCGAAGGCCTGCAGGCTCCCAAGAGGCTCAAGAAGGGCTGCACGCGAGCCCTGGGATCCCACTGAAGAGTCCCAAGAGGACGCCAAGACCCGCCCACATGTCCCCGAGAGGGCCCCGAGAGGTCCGCGAGAGAGCCCGAGGGGACCCCAAGATGATTTCCAGGAGTCCGCAAGCCGGCTGCCAGAGCCTTCGTCGCCTATCTTATCCTCGTTGCCGTCGTCATCTGCCTCCTCGCCTTCCTTGTCCTTTTCGTCCTCCGCCTTGTCCCCCCCCCCTCGTCCTGAACCAGATCGTGCTGGCCCCGCATTTGTTCCACTACATGCTTCTACACTGTCGTGATCAAGGTGACTCGCTTGGACATCGCTGCTGGATGGACCAGTGGGCATATTTTTTGGTACGCGGGCGCGCGAAGCGAGTCGAACGCCGGGCAAGCATGGGCAGGGCCAACGGGGATACTTTTTGACCGCGGGCGCAAACGGAAAGGCCGCGCGCCGTCCAGGGCAACCGCTACCCGGCAGTAGCCTACATTGCACACTAGAAAAAAGAGAAGAGAGACAAGCCAGCCGGGATACTTGTTTGATCGCGACCGTAGCGACACATCGCTCGGCATCAGTTCGAAGCGCGGCTAACGCGCAACGGTCTAAATTAGGCACTGAGCGCGCAGGAACGGGCTACGCTGCGGCTCAGAGGGCGAAACCGACGCTGAAAAACAGGTAGGACACGCCGAAGCCGACGAAGGCCAAGGTGCTGGCCTCGATGCAAGCCAGAATGGCGAAGTAAGTGTAGCCCGTGGCCACGTCCAGGAAGAAGACCGAGACAACTCTGGCAGCGTGCAAGCGCTCGTCGACCACGAGGAAGCGAATGAAATGGCAAAGCGATAGCCGCGGCGGGGGTCGACGGTAGGGCCGGCGACACCGACAGCGAGGCGGCAGAGCGCAGTGCCAAGAGCCACCAAACACGTGGGAACGGAGCACGTCAGGCGTTGTGGGGACGCGGGGCCCGACGTCGCTGAGCGTGCGGACGGCGTCCACCAGCCACTGCCAGTGGGGATACGTTTTTAGTCAGCGGCCGCGGGCGAGCGCGCCGGCGGCGAGTCCAGTCAAAGCGAGGCACGCAGCGACGAGCCAGTAGGGATACGCGAAGCGACACGAATTACTCCTCCGCTTGGCATGCAGAGGCGGCCTAGCCACCCTCTACTCACAGGGGGGGATCAAGGCCGCGGTGGCGGCCATCAATCGAATCCTTCGGGAGGCACCCCCTGCGTGCCACGCCTGCAACATAGCGGCGATGGGCGTTTCGCCCGAGAGGCTCTGGCAATCAGGGCACGCACGGACCTGCGGAACATCCCGGGTCGACTCCCCCTTGGGAAGCCCACGTTCCAGGTCAGCAACCATCGCGGCGATGCTGGTGCTCCGAGAAGAGAACCATCCACTAGGCCAAAGTGGGCATCTCGCCAGAGAGTGTCACACATTCTGGGCGAGAATGGGCACACGGCACACCCCTAGTCTACCCCCCCCCCGCAGGAGACCCAAGGACCACGTCTGATAAATCGTGGTGGTCGTGGGCTCTCCGACGAGACGTGCCCACCGGCCCAATACAAGTGATTCGCCCGAAACGTCCCCATGACCCGGGTGCGAACGCGCCCGTGGAACACCCCCGTGTCGACTCGACACCCCCTTGGGAGACACATGTGCCACGTCGGCCGCACCGTATATGGGAGGTTGGGTATGACTTGGTCAGGGCATGAGAAGTCTGAGCATGAGTGAGTCTGGGCACGCAGGAGTCCGAGTGTGAGGGAATCGGAGTGTGGACCCATATGGGTATGAGAGTGTGTGTGTGTGTGTGCGTGTGTCTAGATATGAGTGGTCTAAGTATATGCGTGGGCTCGAATATCGGTGAATCTGAATGGATCCGGATACGGGCGGGTCTTGGTAGGAGCGGCTCGGAGAGCGAGCGAGACCGAGCACGAGTGGTGGACCTGAACACGAGCGGGCATCCGCACGACGGGGTGCAAGCCTCCGAGCAGGCCCTGAGCACGGGCGGGGTGCGGGCGGAAGGGGCGGGCGAGTACGAAAACCCCCTGTCGTGATTTTTTCAGTGCGTTCGATCTCTGGGCAAACGCGCTGAGGGGGAGGCGCCGCGCCTGACTCTTCGAACCAGCAGCCCCACCGCAGCAGAGGGACGACGCGAACCTCCTCGCGGGAGCGGCTCGGGCGAGGCGGCGGAACAGGGCCCAGGGGGGGGGGGCGAGCGCGGCGGGGGCGTCTCCATGTCCACCGCCTGGGGAGCCGATGTCCTGGGATCCCAGGAGGTTGTGGGTATGGGCGAACGTTGGCCCCAGGTGGCCCGAGTGCGTCCAGACCCACCGCCTGCCGGGGGCCTCGTAGATCGATCCCCCAGGCAGAGGTCATGGATATGCCGCTTCCTCGGAGAGGGGGGCGTCCAGGGACTGCGGGGGAGCTGGGCGAAGGAGGGCGACGGAGGGGCCTGGCGCCGTGGTTGAGGAGCGCGACAGGGCGGGGATCTGGGAAGGAGGAGGGGGAGGAGGGCGAGGAGGAAAAGGAGGAATGGAGAAGGGACGGATAGGAGGCAGAGGAGGAGGAGGAGGAGGAGGAGGAGGAGGAGGAGGAGGAGGAGGATTAATAAGAGGAGGTGGGGGAGAAGGGAGAGCAGGAGGGCGACGACGACGAGGGCGACGAGGAGGAGGAGGACGAATGATGGGGAGGAGGATTGAGACATTTTACCCCACCCGAAAGGTTGGGGTCGTTAGATTTTGAGAACAGACCCCCGACCGGTCCACTCTGCAAACCGCGGCCGCCAGACCCCCGCCTCCCACCACTTTGCTTACCGTGGGCGGCCGCCAGATCCCCAGGTCACCCGAGTGTTCCCGAGAGTCCCGCCTCGCGCCACCCTGCATACCGCGGCCGCCAGATCCCCAGGACCCCCGAGTGTCTCCGAGAGTCCCGCCTCGCGCCACTCTGCACACCGCGGCCACCAGATCCCCAGGTCCTCCGAGTGTCCCCGAGAGTCCTGCCTCGCGCCACCCTGCATACCGCGGCCGCCAGATCCCCAGGACCCCCGAGTGTCGTCGAGTGTCCCGCCTCGCGCCACTCTGCATACCGCGGCCGCCAAATCCCCAGGTCTCCCGAATGACCCCGAGTGTCCCGCCTCGCGCCGCCCACTCTGCATACGGCGGCCAGCAGATCCCCAGGACCCCCGAGTGTCTCCGAGAGTCCCGCCTCGCGCCACTCTGCACACCGCGGCCGCCAGATCCCCAGGTCCTACGAGTGTCACCGAGTGCCCCGCCTCGCGCTGACACTTTATAACATTACAGGGCTGTAGGATAACATAGCAGAACATAGTACAGCACAACACTATGAGGTATGGCAGAACAGAGTATACCACCACACAACCTAACATAACATGTCTGGCACTACCATACCATAGCATGCCCGAACATATAGTGACAGAAAGTCCCTATCAGACCATTTCATAGCATAGAACAACATCACGACACACATCAGCACATATCATGGCAACGCACGCCTACAATAAGACGTCATCGCAGAACTGAACATACCAAATCAGAACATGTCACCGCGTCGCATAACCTGAAATAACAGATCACAACACAACACAGCAAAGCAACGCATAGCAAAGCAGAGCAGTGCAAACCATACACTGGCAGAACAAGGCATACAATCACATTCAATGGCATACCACACCACACCATGACAACGGCGCATAACACATATGCCATGACATACACCATCGCAACACCGATGGAAACACATAACATGGCATAGCGCTGTATAATCTGTTACAACATAGTAGAGCATGGCGTACACTGACATCATACGTTATGTCATACTTGCTCATACAGATCAGTTCACACCACCACATGTCATACTATCCCATGACAGGTCAGAGCATAACATGCAACGGCATAACATAACGTAGCATGGCATCCCATGGCAGAACAGAGCACACCGTAGCACCGCACTAAAGCACGTAGCATTCCACAACAGTTCAAAACGACACGTGCGCATAGTTGGGAACAAACGCCGAACGTTTCCCCAAGGGCTCCCAACTTCGCGCTTCGCGCAGCGCGAAGCGCGAAATGCGAATAACTTCGCGCTCTCGCGCCGCCTCCCAAGGGAGAAGAGCAGGATGGGCAGGAATCGGAGCCGAACCGCGAAGCGCGAACAACTTCGCGCCCTCGAGGGCGCGCCCTTCCTCCCTGGGGATCGCTCGGAGCGGATTCGTTCTCGCTTCTCTTTGTTGCTGCCTGGGGCGAGCTCCTCGCGGCCGCGGCTGGACGGGGGAGGAGGGAGGAGGGAGGAGGAAGGAGGAGGGAGGGAGGAGGGTGGAGGGAGGAGGGAGGAGGGAGGAGGGAGGAGGGAGGAGGGAGGAGGAGGGAGGGAGGAGGGAGGAGGAAAGGGGTCGGGGGAGGGAGAGCGCTGCCGAGCCAGGATCGACGTGCGGGCCCGTGCCTCGGGGCTTCGCTGCAGGACCCACCACGACGGGCGCGCCTCCGGGAGCCGGCGGTTCGGGGCCGAGGGCAAGAAAGTTACGTCGGGCGCGTCCCCCCACAGGAGAATGTTCGACGATTTGTTTTTTTACATACTCCAAGCGTATTCCAAAATGGTCCGAAACTATTCAAAAAATGGTCCCCAGGCCATTGTTTGACCGTTTTGGAGTTCTCCCCCTGTAGAGGGACAGGCCCGACTTAACAATAAAGACATCCCGCGGCGAAGACAACTCCCGCGACTCGAGCACATCATGACGCCGGAGGTCTGGGGATGGCGCGTGCTCCCTGGCCCATCGCTGCAACGAGGACTCGTCATCACAGGAGTGACCGCGGATCGCCCCTGGTAGGCAACGACGGCGGTGGTGGCGACGACGGTGGAGACGGTGAGGATGCCCGCCGTCGCGACGCGGCCCCAAACCCCTGGCACAGGGGAGTCCGGGATCCCGACGGCCCCTTGCAAACAGCGTGATGCCCTGATGGCGACATGGAAAAAAGACGAAAGCAAGATGAGGACTAACTCGGGCAGGTCTAACTTTGAAATCTCTGACATCCAGCGGGCCCGCAGGAATTATCTGGCGCCGTGGCCTTTGTCGAGCGATATCGGAACCTCTGATCTACGTGCGTATCTATTTATATATATATACACGCTAGAATCACGGGCGCCTCGCGCACACTTAGATTAGACCCCCATCTCCCCTTGACGCTCATCCACTCCGTCTTCTCTCAACACCCCTCAAGTACCCTCCCCTCCCCTCTCCTGACCTCCGATCTCCCTCCCCAGCCCTCTGTCCCCTCCACCCCATCCGGGCCCTCTATCGGCCTCAGGAGGCGGCCGTCGGATTGAGAAGGAAAACGAGTCATAAGAATAATAATAATAATAATAATGATAATAATACTAATAATCATCATCATCATCATCATCATCATCATCATCATCATCATCATCATCATCATCATCATCATCATCATCATCATCATCATCATCATCATCATCATCATCATCATCATTGTCGTGATGATGATCGTCACCATCATCACCATAATCATCAGCATGATCGTGATCGTCATCATCATATGTGCCACAACCATCATCATCAGCATCAGCATCAGCATCATCATCATCAGCATCATCATCATCAGCATCAGCATCATCATCGTCATCATCACCGTGATGCTTCCCAGCATCGGTAGCTGCCTTCTTGCGGGTTCGTCATCTTGCGCCGCCACCTCCTCCTCATACGCTCCCTGTCCACCTCCCTCGGGCATCTTCAGAGCGTCTAGTGGTAGTTTTTTTTTTCTGCCGCCTCTAGAACAAGAACAACGCCATAGACATAATGGCGCTCCGCGCGGATTTCCTGGATCCGCGCCGGACCCCCCGCCTCGGCGATGCATCGGCGACACGGCGCGATCCTCCGACCCCAACTGCTCCGACCCCATCTAGGAGGCCTAGACTGGTGCAAGAAACTAACCTACCTGGTGCAGGAAGCCAGCCCACCTCCCCAGTCCGGGAAAGGACGTGCCGAATGATCGTGCGTCGCCCGTCAGAAGATCCGCCACCGTGCTCCCCTGGCGAATCGGCCACAGGCCCACGGTTTTTTCGAAAACCTATTGATCTTCTGGTGGCCGCCTCCTTCGGAGGCCTGGAAATGGGCACCAGCACCAACACAGGGGGCTGCCTCCACAAGGGAAAGATGCTCCTGGATTGCGGCGTTGGTGGTAATACATCGGTCACCCTGGAAGCCAGAATATCACCACCATCACCGAGATCGGGATCTTCTTCTCTCGGTGGATGCACGCCGCCCACATTGGTGTTGGTGTCAACCTCTAGGCTTCGGTCGGGCGTGTCCCCCTACAGGCAGACTTTGGACGATAAACAACAAATGCCCAACACATACACAAACATGCTAAACAACTCGTGAACCTATTGTTTTTTGACTATTTCTGAATCTTCCTCCTGTAGAGGGACAGGCCCGACGGAACTCTGGGCTCGTGACTCGCTCCACTGCTCGAGGACTGCTGCCCGCACCCCCCCCCCCCCTCTCTCGAGGCTCCTGGAGCGCCCCGATGCTCCCCTGGCGATCTGCAGGGCGTCCGAGATGCCATTCAAAGAGGACACAGCGGCGTACGGCGGGTTTGCGCCGTGACGACCCCAGCGTTGGTTTCTGACATCTCGTGGATCGTTCAACCCTGAACGATCGGCGGCGTATCGATTGCCATATCGTTCCATCTTAGGCCGATTCTGGGCCACTGGCGGCGTTCAACCTTGAACGCCCGCGGCGGGGTCGCGACGAGTCGACACGACGCGAACCTACCGTAAGCGCGGATGGCCTGGAGCTGCGCAGGACCCCCCCCCCGCCCTGGCGCGCGGAGGGGCGCCGGGGGGGCGGCGCCAGAGGCCCGACGGGGGAGGCCCCGCGCGGATCCAGGAAGTCCGCGCAGAGCGCCACACGCTTGTGGTCATACAATCAGGGGGACGTAAGACCTGGGTACGGGGGACTCGGAAATCCCCGACGAGGTCGTCAGAAAACGACGAGGCCGAGCCTGCATTTTGACGAGGCCTCCCGCCGCAGACATGCCACGAAACTCCTCCTCGTCAAAATCCGAGGCGCGGTCGTCAAAAAACGATGGCGAACCCGAGTCCTGGCAAACCCGGGTCTTACGCTCCCCCGATACAAGTGTTCCTTTCTTCGAGTGCCTGAGATGGCATCCAAGACGGCTCAGGGCTCAGGCAGACCTCCAAGGGCCATCGAGGTGGCCCAGTGTGCCCCGCAGGCGAGAGCAGATGGAGTTAGCCCCAGAGGCTGCCCAAGATGGCCTCGGGACTGCCCACGAGGCTCCCAAGACGACACAAGAGGGCTCGAAGAGAACCTCAGGCAAGGTCGAAATAAACCAACATCAATTTCGGTGGCAACTCTTGGGAGTCTCCCATGCCATCTTGTTGGCTCCTGCCAATCGACGCTAACCGACGCTAGTCGACGCTAATCGACGCTAAATTGACGCTCATCGACGCTAAGTCAGCGCTGTCTCAACGACCCCCAGACGCTAATCGACGCTTGTCAACGCTGAAGATGGAGTTCAAAGGTTACGCCAGGCTCCCATGATCTGCTATACTGCAATCAATGGTTTTGCCGCACTCTCACCTTCTGGCCCCTCGGCGGCCCCGTCTCAGCCAATTTAGAAAACACTCTGCGAGCGGCCCCCGATCCCGGTCCAGCCCAAATCCGGCGTTGCAGGATCCTGCGGGATCCGGCGCGAGTTAGACACGTTTCCACTGAACCCCCGCTGCCTGCCGCAAGCTCCCTCCGCCTCCCCACCCCCATCGCCCATGAGAGCCCAGAATCGAATCGATAAATCAGATCGGCGATCGAGATGAATCGGATCGGTGGAAATCGGCAACCGAGTCGGGAGAAGTCGAGTCGGCGGAAATCGGCTGGCTGGTAGGCCCCCGTTGGTACATCGGAATCAAACTCCGAATCCGAAGTCGAATTGGAATCGGAGGCCATCGAAATATAACATCGGACCAGATCGGAGGGGTCGAAGCGGCCCCTGCCCGCCCCCTGCCAGCCCTGTTCTGCTCCCCTGCAGGAGCGGCCGGCGCGAGAGGGGTGCCCACCTGACCACTCCCATGGCGGGGGAGATGACGGCGGCGGGGAGCTGCCGGCGACCCGCCTGACA